ATAATTCACTTTTACGATAACGATAAGTATTGTTTATTTAATTAATCGATGATATCATGTTCGTTTAGATTGATTTCCGGACAATCACATGATCATCCGGAGCACAACCTGGTACACATTTTCTATGAAGCGATCTATGACCGATCATGTTTTATCTGCTGGTTAAGTTGGCTAAGTAGGTTTCGTTGTGGCGGCCTAAGCCGGCATACAGCACCATACGCCACAAACCTGGACACATTCAAGAGCTGTGGATAATTACAACAGAAGTTCTCATTACGTAGTTGACTACCTTGCTAGATAATTTTTGTCGAATGTAATTGGTCAAGTACAAATGTTATGACGATAGCATTAACATAGCGAAGATTTCAATAATACAAATCAAATACGTATAAGGAGTAATTTTATTAATTTTTTAATTTGTAATAATCAATCTATTTAACCACTTGCATAAATAAATAAATAAAAATTTTTTTTAATAATGTCTTTATAATATTTTGCTTCACATAAAATAAGTGAAAATTGATCTATTTTAAATAAATAATATATATATATATATATATATTTTTAACAAATTGATGCGAATTTTTTATTTTATAAATACTACTTTTTTTTTTTGAATTCTAAGATGTTTCACAGATTTAAATAATTTGAATTGTATATTTTTCTAACCTTCTATACATCAAGCGCTCCTGGCATAAAGGCCCAAATTGTCCCAAGCGCAGATAAAGTCGAACAAATTACGATTATTACCCAATTCAACAACCACTCTTTCCAACTTAATTCATGTCCATATAACTTTAAATGACAAACACAAGGGAAGATAGCAGAAATCATGAATGAAAAAAAGCTTCCTAATACACCCATAACCCTTTCAAATTCAGGGAATTGGATTGCAATCAATACGACTATTGATGACACTAATATACGTGTGACAGCACGCAATCCTGTTCGACGACCACGGCCCGAGTTAAGCCAACTTTCTATCCAGGGAATAGAATGATAATATATTTCTAAAGTTAAATTTATGGGGTTCAATGTGAGAGCATATTTTGCAATTGGGTTTATTGCCACAAGCCATATTACGAATTCATTAAGAAGTTTCAAATAGCCAGGAGTTTGCATTATGTTTTGCGTGACCTATTTATTGCAACATAATTAAATTAACATACTACCGATAGATTAAAAATTGAGGATCTAAATAAGTAAATTAAACATAACTTACTTCTTGTTTTGTAATATTGCCAAACATCATATAACCGCATACGGCCATAAGAATGTAGACTACTGAGGTCCATTTATAAGTTAAGTTTACCATTCTTGGATATTTTTCTGGCCTTTGCATGTCACGGTATACCGTTGGAAAGACAGCATGACCTAAAATTAATGATTAGAAACCTTTTAATAACAAAGATCATAAAAGAAGTATAATGGTAGAAAATTTACCAGTAAATCCAGCCATAATTAGTCCAAAGCTAATAGGCAATGTCCACAAAGAAGGTGGCCATATTTCTGTTGGCATGGGATCGAATAAACTTCCGGGTCGTTCAAATTTTGTAAGTCCATCAAAGATCACCACTGATACCAAAGTTGTGGCAGACAGTATTCCAAGTAATGAGAAATATGAGAGATAACGTATTGCGATCAATGTTAATGGAGTCATTACCGACCAAGCAATAACTTTTAAGGTAATAATAGATGTATCAGGAAAGATTTCGTGTAGAGAATCACCAACAAGGATTACTAATGCCGTGGCAGAGGCTATTAATTCAAGCGAAAATAAAGTTGATATGAAAAGTCTTGTACGTTCACCAAATGCAATTGCACCTATAATGATAAGAAAATATTTATAAGAATACTAACTAAATAACTAATCACGTGCACGTGAAGTAACGAACGAAATATACCCATGTCAGCATAAGTGCAAAGTCTCACGTCGTATTCCAAACATTTTGCCAATAATTTTGCGGTATAATTCGTAACACCCAAGCAGAAAAAGAATAACAATAACCCTATCACCCATCCCGCATATTTAAATCCGAAAGGCAGTGCAAGAATTCCAATACCTGTTTGGCGATCATCAGGTTAGTATCAGGAAAAACAAGATTTATTGCATAACCAAAAACATTTACATTACCTATTAAGATATTGCAGGAATTAAAGACAGATTGCCTGAAATTTGATCCGACAGTTATAGGAAATTCATGTATGGATGCCACAGGTTTAAGTGAGGTCCTGTCAATAGACACGTATAAAGATAAATCATAGTTTTTTTTAAAAAAAGAATTAACAAAATTACCGTTGTAGGATATGAAACGCATGTACGTACCTTGAAGTTTTTACAAGAGGTGTGCGTTCAGCATCAGCGATTTTTAATGGTTTTTTTTTGCCAGTATCCACGGATGAATTCCTCAATATATTGCTTGCATATGATGACCCTAGGAGATCGCCTTGTTCATGCAAACTTTCACTGATCGACATCAAATTCGACTCATAGTGAGATCCAGGGAGATGTGAAGTAGATTGATAGGTTTGTGGAGAAAAGTAATATTGATTAGATATTATGGACGAGTATTGTGAGCCCGTAACACCTTGCTCAGGGTTTTCACCAACAAAAGATGTTGGCACCACCATATTACAGGACATGTAGGTGCTATGGAAAAAATTCATTTTACGGTAATTTGTGAGCAAGTTATGCCATTAATTTGTAGAATGGCGAGGATTAGTTATTCCTCTACCTAGCAGTCTGGCCATAGTTTCCTGTCCATTCTTGCCAAGTTTCAGCGAGAGAGTGGCCCAAACCAGAATGGGTTCCTGATCCACGTCTCCGACGAGTTGTATTTTCTGGAATATTTATTGGATTTGTTGACTCTTTGCTCGATGACCCGTTACTTGACATATTGTTTAATTTAAATGAATAAATTTTGATAAAAAATCGCAAGCCAGAAAATTTTCAAGATATATATACCAATTATATATATCTATTAATTTAATTTATTTGCGTAAAGTAGAACATTGTCACAGCCCACTGTAATACTTAAGTACATGCGTACGTACGTATGTTGATGTAATAATATAAAATGTTATTGAAATGTTATTTAATGTTATTTGAAATGTTATTGTTTTTGTAGTATTTTTATTCTAGTATATGCGCCAAACCCAAAAATAGACAGAGTAAGATTTTGATTTACATATATGGTTTATCTATAGATTATCCGTCTAGTTAAATCAGATTATTTAATATACATACAGTACTTATATCGGTGACTCACGAAGGAAATGTTTCATGCTCATCTGGATGATTCGATGTTTGAGCTTATTACGCCATACTAATTGATCCATACGACTTTACTCTGAAGGCAGTAGATCGTCCCTTGACGATTTTAAAGAAAAAAAGCTAGGATTAACAAAATTAACTAATTTAGTTTTAACTTGCATTTCTAAAAAGGATTGTTAAACACTTATCGTTATCATAAACTGCAATCACTCCCTAATGTTAACAATCGGTAACGTAGATGATCGACCTATAAAATTTCATTGGTAAAAATCACTGCATAAAGACAAATAACAGTCGAGTCTAGATTGTGGCTGAACTATATACTGCTTAAAACCGTACGCAATTATCATTACGATTACCGTTATTCTCGAAATTTTTTCTTTTAATATTACTTTTTTGTTGTTCTCGTTATTCACATAGTATTATTTGATTTTATGTTTCAAAATTACAATAATTGTCTAGAGAGCATAAAATCTTTAGGTAAAAATTGTCTAAAACATGCTAATAAAAAAAAAAGATCATAAAGATAACTGTATAAATAATTAATATAGTGATAGTGCACGCACACATACATACATAAGTAACTGCCGTTTTTTATTTTAATGGCTACATGTCAGGTGTAGCACAAACAAATTAAAGCAAATTGTTTTTACACGTTACATGCTTAATGTTAAAATTGGTAACATTTTTAAGTTTTAAAATCACTAGTCTTATATGGCAGCTTTTATAAAGTTACTGGTCAAGTTTTAAATTTCGTCGCTTCGCTGAAATTTTATCACTCTTTCATCCAAAATGTATTATTCTATGATAGCCAAAACAATATGGCAATTAGTCTCACGCATAAAGCTATAAATGTCTAATAAAAAATTGTAAATTTCACTTGTAGAGGTCAAAAAAAAATTAGTATTCGAATATTTATATAATTTTTTTACTAATCAGTTCGGGTGTATGTCAGAAACCTTTGAATATCCAATGAATATTTCTTGTTGTGCCTCGTGGCTTATAAATCGATTACATTTTTCTTAGTGAAACATTGACACAAAATCGATTTTATGTTTTCTTTAGCAGTTATTAAAACTAAATTTAGTATTCGTGATTCAAATATTATAAATACAGTCGACTCTGAATATGCCGAACTTCATATTCTGAAAGGTTTTGTTCGGTATACCTATATAATTCACTCTATACTGAACAGTTTGCTATACAAAGCTAACCAATAAAATCATGTGTAGGATCTCAACGAGTCAGTACACCATCGGAAATTCTCGGAACTTTCAAAATTTTGTCTTACTCCTGGAATATTTAGGAACTAGTGTCATACAAACAAATGACCAAATTGACAATTTTTTAAGAATTTTTTAAGCTTAACGTTAACTAAATTAAAATTATTCAGGGACATTTTTCACTAAGAAAGAATGCTGTTGCATTAATAAATAATTTGAAATCTGTACTTTCCTATGAGTTAATATAGATTTTATCAATTTTCCGCAAATTTATTTTTTGTCAATTTGGTCCCTTTTCTCAGCACCTAGTCAAAATAGTTCGTTGTCTATAGGTTTAACCACCTGGTTAAATTAAAAACGTGATCTATTCAATAGAACTGGCTCGTTATCTACATGGATGTTAAGTAGTTTAACCGCCTGGTTAAAAATGTGATCTATTCAATAGAACTAGCTAGTTTAACTAGCTAATCAGTATATTAAAAACCGTGGTTTAATATAAATTCTGACCACTGGTCAGATTACTTGACATCCCTAGTAAAATACTGGAGACTCCAATAAATTAAGAAAAATTCCGTCGCAATTTTTTGATAGTCGGAAGTTTTCTTTTGTTCAGAACTTTGACACCTACATCAAAACTGATTGCTACTATCGTTACTACCTCTGGTTATAGATCTTTAACGTTAATAAAAAGGTCGTCGGAAAAATATCAGAATACTCATGTGGCACTGCTTGAATGTGTGCCAGGCTTGTGGCGCCGATTTTCTGAACTATGAATTAGATTTCAAGATCAGGTGGAACGTGACACGACCAAGAAAATTCAAAATAAACTTTCGTTTTGTCTTGTTTTCAAAAATCAGCATAAGAAACCACCTTTAGTGTTTTAACAAAAAGTTTTCGTTAGGCAATTTTACTGTATAAACTAGTTTTCTCTAATTTCTAACCCTGATCCTAACCTAATAAACGTTAAAGAATTTTTGTTGTTATGAATCTGACACACATTTAAGTGTGCAATTTTTATGTACTGGTTTGTTATATCGAAATATGTGTACATAGTTCTGGTTAGTAAAAAAGATTTTGAATATAGTATATAAAAATTTACTATATAAATTCAATATAATCTGTTTAAATTTTTATAAAAAATTAGGATTATAAGAACATCTTTAAAATTACATTTATTTAAGTTTTTAATTTTTATTATATTTTAGAATTATTTTATTTTTAACAGAAGTTTTATTAGAGCTTTTTATATTTCACATATAATTAACTTTTTTTTTTTTTTTTTTTTATTTATATAATATTAAGTAGAAAAATAAGGATACATTTATATATCAATTGAATATGAATGTATAACTAAAATATTATTCTTAAGCTACACTATTGTTGTTATATAAAGAAGAGGATAGCAGATATTTAGATTTAACATTGTTGGTAAGTTATTGAGAAGTATTTTGTTTCTAATAGAATATAGTTTAAGATTGGAATTTTGGAAGTTAATAATTTTAGTTAATAATAGAATGTTTATAGTTGGAGGGTTCCGTAATGGTTTGAGTTAAAGAAGTTTGTTAAATGTTTGAATTAAGAATAAGTTCTTGCAGAATTTACATAGTTTATATGTAATTGGAATTTCTTTCCAAGAAAAATAAGTGAGTAGATAGAAAGGATCAAGATTAAATTTTAATTTAGTTTTGTTAGCATCTTGTTTAACAAGAGAATCAGTTATATTGTATAAAGTATTTTTTGAATATAATTGATGTTTTTGAGTTTTATTAAATAATTAAGTATATATATAATATCTCAATTATTTTGTTTGGTTTGTAAGTTGTAGTTATAGAGTAGTACATTTAAAAGTATTTGAATAGTAGATAAGCTGTCCAAATAGATATAAATTTGATAATTGATAGGTAGTATAAGAAATAGAGAGATAAGTGCTGCTAATTCAGCTTATGTTGAGTTTGGTGCATGAGTTATAGAAGCATTAAATTTGATTTGTGTATCCTTTTCAAGAATTCAAGTAATGCCTATTAAAATATTATTTGTTTGTAAATTAAGTATAAAGACAACTGTATAAAAGTTTAGATTAATTGGTTTTAGAAATAGAATTTTTTATAAAGATTAATAAGTTGGTTTTGATAAATAGGATCAGGTATAATATTGTCCAATTCTGTAACTCTCTTCATAGATTAGTTGTACCAAAATTTTGCTAAAAACATTTAATTATTTCTTAAAATTTTCTTAAATAAAGCTTGCTTATATTCTAAAGTAAAGTTGTTAAGCTAATATTTCTCCTTTCAGGCAGTCAAGATTTGGGTTCCTACAACACCTAGCTCTTGAGAAAAGTTTCAAAAACTAAAAATTTAGTTTTTGCTTATTTACTATATATTTTATTAAGTTAATATACTTTATTCCTTAATAAAAAATTACTAAGCACCTCAAACCAGTTATTTTGATATATAATTTATTATAAACAACTAAAACTTACCAAGATACAAACAAAAAGGTGAAAATTAAAACTTATCTTTGCAGGTTTTTTCATTGGCATTTTAGGAAAAACTGCTAGGTTGCCCTGGATTTTTTACTTTTTTGGCATCCAACAAAATTTTCTAAACATTCAATTAGCTTTTACAAATATATTACACTTTACAGATCATTCCTAAATAGTCTGAAAGTTTAGATAATTAAGAAATTTTTCTTATAAACAATATTATACAAATAATTCGTATTATTTAAATTTTATAAACATTATCATTAAAAATAGTTATACATAATGTCAAGCATTAATACTGTAGAACCTGATTCTTTCGAACTTGATAATTACATTGCCAAACATAGTAACAGTTCTGGTACTGTTACTTATGATAGCAATATTCATACTCTTAAAGTTCTATCTATCAATTTCAATTTTAAAACATGTGACTTTCAAAATAACTTTCACTTCTTCGTAAAATCTACTAAATCTGTTATTACTACCTGTTACTGCAAAAAATATCATATTTACTTTGCTTTACAACATATTACTATTCCATCATATTCTTAACTAACTTCTAAAAATACCCTAATGCATCTAACTCTATAGAAATAGATTTCGATATAAAACTTTTCAAATCTCTTAAAAGCCTCTCAAGATCTAAATTCCAACTAAAACATGAAATTACTTACTCATTTTCTACCTTCTGTAGTGATATTAGGAAAACTTTTACAAATCTAGTCCCTTTCAAATCATTCTCACATTATGCACATACATGCATTATATGCAAAATCAAGAATATACTATGTATTATTCTTAAAGATAACAAACACTCACTTGACCCACAAGCTCTAACTTTTGTAACTAGTGAAAGAAGCTTTCCTACTTATATATAATGCATTCATCTTCTCAAACTTAAATACTCAACTTTCTCA